TCATCATCATCATCATCATCATCATCATCCACTGCATATGAAGCACAACATAGTAAGAAAAAGGATCTAAAACTCTGTTTAATTCCTTTTTTCCTCTGTTAACCAAAGTATTTTAAAATTATTACTCCCACAGTTCCGCTCTGTAATCCCATACCAGGGGCACGGCTGAATTTATCAGATAGCACAAATATTCCTGTGATGTTGTATTCACAGGCCCCATGGATGCTGTAGTTTAAAGTGGCAAGCTGACGAATGACGACTCTCACACCGGGTTATTAATATCAGAACTTTCCTGGTTTCATCAGAATAAAACCTTGAAGGAGAAAATACCTGTATGTTTTCTTTAATAAATGCTATTTCTAAAACTGCAAATGAGCTACACCCTTGGACACGTATATATAGCAGAGCAGTAGTTAGTAATAAAACATATAGTTTTATATATGATGCATTTCTCCTTAGAAAAACTACTTTATTTTCTTTGGGAACAGAACAGAAGAGAGAAAAATTAAATTAATTCTCTTTTGTGACTGAAAACAATCATTTATCTTCAAGGCTTCTGTCACCAAATATCCATGCCAACACAGGATTATACAATTAGTTCACAGTGTGGAGGTGTAGCTGACCTTTTAAAGTGTTTTAAGAGAGACATTTTCATTCCCACAGCTCTCCAGACACACCAGCAGAGCTCTCTACCTCCAGCTTAGCTAAAATATTTCCTCTTCCAGGTCCGTTCCAGCCCACACAGCGCTCTGATTTTAACTTAGATATTCTCTGCAGCAATCAAGCTAAGAGGCTGCTCCTTAATAATTCATAATTAAATCATAATACTGATTAAAAACAGATTTTTCTAATAAGACTGAGCAGCAATCAGAAGGAGCAGCTTTATTAGTAAGGAGAATAATAAATACACAGATGAATTACAGATGAACAAACTCAAGGAAACTTATCGAGATGATTCTCTGTGATTTGGCACTATTTAAATGGACACAGTTTCTTCCCCTAAAAGACCACAAAGAGGAGAATAATGACAAAGATTTTACTGTAGCCACTTCTATTTATAGCCATGTGGATTTGCACTCTACAAAAATTAAACATGAAAAGCAGAAAATTTCCCTGCTCTGAATAAGTAAGTGAATTTCCAAATTTTCCTAATTATCAGGCCACATTGTGACTCTCCCATTTTGCAGGGATAAGTGGTCACTCGACTTATTTATTTTAAAGAACTTGCTGCCTTTTTAAATGGATTCTTTAACCAAAAATCAAACTACCAAGATGAAATACAGGTGGGGTCTGAAGCTTCAGCTCTGAGATAATTTTTACAAGCAGACAATGCACTCATGAGCCTGTCCCAGTGAGTAGCCATCTCCAACTCAGAAAATCAAGCAATATGAATGACATTTTTTGTAGGGAAATGTCCTAGCCAGGAAAGCAAAATAATAGGAGGGTCAATGGCCAGAGCTGCTGGAGAGAGGTTGGGTTGGGTTGAGTTGGGCTGAGTTGAGTTGGGTTGAGTTGGGTTGGGTTGGTTTAGGTTGGGTTGAGTTGAGTTGGGTTAGGTTGGTTTAGGTTGATGTTGGGTTGGGTTGTGAGGACGTGAGCACCTAAAGGTTGATGGCCTCTGGTACAGGAACTGCTGTGTCAAGAGGTCAAGGAGCAGGCAAGGAGGCCCCAGCTGTAAGGGGACGTAAAATGACAAGAAACCACAGACCAAGAGGGAAAGGCTTCTTATTCCTTAAAAAAGTTGGATTTAATGACCTTCCCATGGCTTTGCTACAGAACTTCTGTGAGGTTTCTCAGTCAGGATATTTGGTCTCCCTGGCCAAAACCACTTAAACTTTAAACATTTACCAAGTACAGAAAGGAAGCACCTTTGGATGGTTTTTACCAGTTCTGCTTCACCTTCTTCTACCAGCTCAAAATTCTTCCTATGTCTCCTTTCCAGACACCAACACAAGGAAATCCAGTGATGAGTGACATTTACTTTTAAACCTATATGAATCTTCATCAGATGTGGAGACAGAGGCAGAATTTTCCACATTCACAACATCACCGATTCATCTGGCTTTGGAGCAAGGGGTGGGTTTGCGTATGGCTTTATTTCCAAAGCCCCTCAAGGGCACCCTCACCTTTGGAGAAGTGAATAAAAATGTGGCTGAGCTAGAAACCAATGAGCTGAATGAGAAAGGAAAGCAGCTCAGGATAGCACTTCTTCCATAAGCCTAATCTTTGTTGGTTTTAAAATTGTGTAAAATTCCGCTGCAATCTAAAATTATTCCCTGGTTTTTTCCTTCCTTTTTTAAAATATCTTGATCTGCTTGGCTGAAAAGAATGAGTGAGCTACATACATTTGAATTATTTAAATATAAAATATAGATATAAAATCTTGTATCTTAAAAGAAAACGTTTCATAATAATGGTATCACAAAATACGATCGTAAAAAATTAGACTGGTGTTCTGAAAGTCTTTCTGCTATGCAGAAGTAGCACAAGATTTTTCTGTGACAAACTAGTTTGGGTATGCTGTAAATACGCCAGCTAAATGCAGAGTGAGTAACATCGTCAGATATTCATTTCATTAACATCATTTCAATCAATCATTTAATTATCTTCATGTTAAAATAAAAAATCAGCCTGAAATGATGTCGTTGCATGGAAACTTATTTCAAAGTTGGAAAAGCACTGAGAGGGACGAGAAGGGCACTGCTTCACTAATGATATTTGTCTCTGAATAAATAATAGATGGAAAAAAGGTATACTTGAAGTTCACAGGAATTATAAAACGATAATATCCTGAAGAGCATGAATTCCATAGCACGATGGAGAGAAAAAAGTAAGGTAAGGGGATAGAAAAAACCCTAAATTTAACTAGTCAGCTGATAATACGACTGCCAGGATACTGTATCATATATCCAGATTGATTTATGCAGCATAAAGCAAATCTCCGTGTGATTACGAAGCTCCAAGCCCCACGTTATTGCCAAATGAAAACTCATTTTTGCTTCCAGTCACTGCTCTCCACTGTGAAACGGCTACACCTTTTAGTGAAAAGAATTTCCAGTCGAAAAATACCTTTTGCTGCCTTTTCTCTCTTTTCCTGTTGTTTCGGAGCTATAATACTGATGGGAAATGATGTATTTAAAACCACAGAGTAATTAAAAAGCAATGTGATTAGCTGCCACACATATTTTCAAATAGTAATACCACTTTAATAGACAAATGTCACCAAAGTGAACCTTTGCTGAGGAAAAGTGTGTTTGTAATTCATTTGAAGTACTGCAATCAGAGGCAAAGACAGAGCGTTGACACCAAGTTCCTCTTCTGGGATCAAATTATTTTCCTCTAGAAAACTTAAAGCTCCTAAAATCTAACGTTCTGTAAAAGCTCACAAAGGAAGAAAGAAATAAATACGTCTGGTTTTTTGCAGAGCAAAAGCATTTTTATCAGTGATAGTTTTATGGTCTGCAGAGGACTTTCTTGGGTTTTGAATTCTGTCTCTTTGGTTCTACCTCTAAGATTGAAACCTACAGAAATGTAAATGATTCCCTTTGTCATAAGGACAAAATTGAACATAAAAAGACAATGATGCATTTTCTTCTCTGGGAAAAAAAAACCATTTCCAGTCATATTGGTATTTTTTTTAGTTATCATGAAATTACCTTGGGACCACTGGAAAATGTCCAGGATATGGAACAAAACTGCAATTATTTGTCCTGCAAAATATTCTTTAGTACTTGTAAATGGGATTCTTCATGCAAGAGGCACAGGAAACCTGGCTTCCATTCCCACTTCAGGAAATATTGCCTGTGTGATCTTATATTCAACTTATTTTTGCTTTAACACATCATTGTAAAAATACCAGGTCATTTCACACGCTTTATGAATCGCTCATGTTTTTGAAGTTATACAGCAAACGTCTCACAATGATGAATCGACAAAATATTTTGCACGCAAGCTTATTTTTGCCACTCTCCCGTTTAATATTCCGTTCTAAAATATACTGTAAGTATATATATTTAAAGTTTAATAAATGGAAAATACGGTTGTTGGAAGAAATTTGACGGGATTTGATGGGTTTGAGGGATTCAGGGTTAGGCATTTCATCTTATTTCTGAAATCGGCCTTAGAAAATTCAAATGCAGAACTAAATGGAACATTATGACAAAGTATTTCCTCATCTGATACAGATGAGATATCACTGCTGGCTACAAAAAGAAAAGAGGTTGACCGTGTGTGTACCTTGGGGGTTTACCAAATGACAAATGATGTCGGATTTGAAGAGATGAACTTTAGCTCAAGTTGCAAGATGGTTTTAAATGGCACCGAAGCGTACGCAGGGCGAACGGTTTACTGCCTGAATTTTCTCAGAAGTGACACTAAGCTGTCTTTGCAGGGCAGCTGGCACCAGCCAACCCCACTTCAACTTTTTTACCTGCCAGGCGATCAGATCCTTCAGCTTCTCAATCTTGTCGTGATCTTCCGGATGCTCGTGCATGTACTTTTCAGTAAAAAAAGCCTAGTCGAGAGAGAGCAATGATTTCAGAAAATGAACCAACATCTACCAAGGAAGAATTACCTACAGCAAAGATATAAATGAATCAACCCAGAAGTTCTGCAAAACAGCAGTAACAGCCACAAATACAAATGAAAATCTAGGAAAACGATAATTTAACAATGTTTCCAGGTTAAGACATAAATCTTTCGTGAGCGGTAAAGGGAGCAGATGAGCACGTGGTGACCAAAGCCCAGATCTCCTGGGCAGCCCTGCAGAGGACTTGAGCATCTCCAAAACGCCTTTCTAGAAGTTTCCAGGCATAAGAAATTGTAGTAGTACAAAAGGACATAAATAGATGGATACAGCAACAGGCCCATCAGCAGGTCCGTTCTCCGTTCATGTTACAAAATACACGTTGCTTATCCCGTTTAACTGTAAAAACTACTGCTGTAAACATGCAGTTAAGATTATTTAGACATGTTTGCGAGTGACTGATATCTTAGAATTCTCCAATGCCTGATTAATCCTTTAAAAACTCTCATATCTGAAAGCAAAGGAGTGAATTGCAATCGGTTACTTTGGTCATCCAGAAATTGCTGCTCCAGCTCCAATGCCCAAGCCATGAGAGCACCCACTGGGGATGTCACCAGCCCTGGTGTTTACCTCTAGTAACCAATTGTCCACCACATCCCTACGTACTCTTCTGCCAGACATACTAACTCTTCTTTCACATGCAGAAAGGCAAAAATGCATCCAGAAATATCAGAAAGACTAAAAATGGTACATTTTAAACAATGCACATGGTATTTATAAAGAAATACATGCATCCTGCAGCATTTCAGCAGATCCCAGGCTCCAAGAGGTGAAGGTCGGATCACTTTGACGTTACCTTCTCGTAGTTGGTGAACCCTCCCATGACTGCAGGATCCACGATGCCGTTCAGCAGCATCGAGAGAGGGTTGATGGGGAGGTTTGGATCATTTAAATGCTGCTGCACCATGTTATTGATCTTGTCATTTGTGAGCTGCATGGTTTCTATGGCGTTTTCCAGCGGGCTAATTTCAACCTAAAATTAAAACAAAAGCAGGCTTTAATCAAGGAGGAGAGTTTTAAACCCGGCACAGAATTGCTGTTCACCAAAGCACCACCATTAGAAACACTTCAGAACAAAAGCTACTTTAACCAATAATTAACAGAAGGGGCGATTTCAGGCATTTAAGTATTTGCTAACTATGTACTGCAGTAACCATAGGATAATCAGTGTCGGTAGAGAAAGTTAAACGCATTCCGCTGCTGTAGGACAGATTACATCTCAGCACAACAGCACAACATTTGGAAAGGCTCTGACAGAAACCGCGTGAGGTTTTCGGAGGATTAGGGAAAACATGAGAGATTACAACTCGGTGAGTCGGAGCAGTACAAAGAAGATCCAGCATAATGTAAAAGTGAGAAAGGAACGATAACCTAATGTGGATTTCCTGATGGGAAACGTAATCCTAAGCCGCTCCAAAATCAAGAAGATATTTTTGCAGTGATTATTTTGCTGTATTTCCAAGGGAGTGCAGTTTAATACACTGAGGAGATGACTTCTAAGCTATCTTCTGTGCTTTTCCCCACAGGGTCACGTTTTCTTCATCTGAACGTCGATAACCGAAGGAAGAAATTTCCTCTCTCCCATAGCCCGGACTTCAATGAAGAGAGCTCTTCAGATGCCTTGATGGGGTGAATTAGCTCTCACACTGTCTAAAACTTGCTTTATTTTAATTCACTGATCTCCAGCTATTACTTACGACCAGATACTGTGTCTTTCCAAACGACGGTCGCTCATATTGAAACTACAGCATTAAAATATTATAAATATTGCTAAAACATGCACACTTGGAGAACAGGCTTAAAATGATGAACTTGCAGCAACCGAGAGAGCAGCCAGCCCTCACTGGAAGACAGAGCCTACTTACATTAAAAAAAGGATGTGGTAGGAATAGAAAAGGAAGGTTAATTGAGGCCTGTGAGGAAAATGCAAGTGTATATTTGATTACACCCTCATTTACATAAATGCTACATAAACAAAGCAGCTCTTCTACCTGGCTATCAGTTGCTTACCGTGGTTCTGAGAACCACTTATAATCAGATCTCTGGCGTTGCTGCTCTTACACCTGCCACCTGATTACATCAAGGATGCTTTCATTAGCATTTTTAAAAGCCTGCCTCCAAGAAGGTGAATTACTGGGGAAGGCAGGTGAGGATCCCAGTGGTTCTGCTGCGGCCCAGATGGACGGACAGACAGACGAGGAGGACGGACAGACGAGGACAGCCCTTCAGAGCCCAATACGCTACCCTGGGAGATTTGGCCTGGCAAAGTGAGGCCACATTCAACATCTGATTTGGCGAGAGCTGTTGCGAACATCGTACGCTAAATTTAGGATCCTGTCATTTGTATTAATGGGCTTATAATGAAGCAATAATTTGTTGATGAACCATTGCTTTTAAAGCTCTTGAATATCTACAGAAATTAGCGCTCATTGAGCTGACAGACATCTTTTTTTGACTTTTCTCTATCGGCAATCACAGCTTTCTTTCTCGTTCTCCTTTCTTTTACCAGTCTTATAATCCTCCCTCTAATTTTTTAAAAGCAGATGGAGGACTGCAGTCCCCATCCCGCTCCTATAATCTGTGCTTCGGGACTTACTGAAAGCTATTTATTTAAAATACCTATAGTTTGTAAATGACGAGCCTTGCTCCAAGTAGCCTGCTAACGCTGGACACTACACAGTCTGTTCATGGCAAACAGAAAGCATATACTCCCAATACATTAAAAAATTAAATACCAAAATAGAGAGTAGTATCTGTACTTTTTAAAAGCAAGCAAAGCTCAAAACTCAGTTTGTAATTCACAGCGATTATTTCCCCTGCAATTACTTGTGTCCAGCTAAAACCAAGCAGATAATGAATGTGCACGGATTCCTTGCAGCTGACGAACAGACTGAAAAGGTGTAGGTATAAATACTCAGAAGGAATGCCAAAAGCAAATAGATGGAAGGAAATTATGCGTGTTCCTGTGGGTTGTGTAACAGAACAAACCGCATTTACTAAATTACTCATGATTAGAAATGATCTCACCCCTTCCTCTAAAGATCCTCTACTTCCATCGATAAAATACGCAATGTGCAGAATTACTTTAATTCACTGCACCATCAATACACCAATAACATCCGTATCCCTGATCACAGCCGAGCATTGCAGGGATGGAAACCCCACAATGGTGCTTCCCACATTTTAGCTGACGGGAACCGTCACGAAAGTCACTCCCAGTTTTGCAGTAACTCTGTCAGAGCCAGGTCAGAAGTTATCTGTTGCTGTCTTCCCACACATTATTATTAAGATCCATTTCGGTATCGTTCTTCAGCTATGCTACTAATATAATATAATCCTTACTCACAAAAAGCTTAGAGAAAGCACTCTCCTGGGATTTATGCGCATTTCGACGACAAGCACGGCGTTCAAGGTGCGCCTATACAAATTGTCTGCACAAAGCAGCCTGTCAGGCTCTGCTCTTAACTTGTACCGAAAAGAGACTTTAATCAGATTTGCCCCTTTATAAACCACGCTTTTTGCCATCGTGAAGACAAATACGATCTTCTCTTATCAGGATTATATGGAAAATACAAAATTCATTATGAATTCAATGTGTTTTATTCAGCTGCCTATTACTGTCAAACTTCACATTCATATTCTGTTACTATAGATACCATAGTAATTTTCTGCATTACTTCTGTTCATCTAAATGCAACTGTCCAACATAACCTCAATAGAGCAATGAAAAAGGTTTTAATTAATCATATGCAAATTGTTCTTTTCCTTTAAAAATAAGCCTCACAAGAGAGATTTAAAAACCGCAGTAACAATGCCTTTATTGCTACTTAAAAATTACAGCTGCATAAGAATTTAATCTTAAAGGCGTTTAATGGATCTGTCTTATCTAAACAGTCAAAGACAGAAATACATAATCTGGAGTTGCTCGGTGAGGTTGCTCAGGGTATATCTGAGCAAACTGTGGAGAAGAAACTAAATCGATATTTAATCATAAATAATAAGTAAGGGTGGAAAAAGACCTCTAAGGTCATCAGCCCAACGCCACCACGGCCATAGGATGCCAGACACAGCCCCATCGGTTCCTTGGTTCACACAACTGGAGCACGGTCACACCAAAATAGAAATGCTCCTGGGCTGCATAAGAGTCTCATTTTTTTACACAAGCTCAAGAAAGCCAAAGTGTCCTTACCATGAAAACGGATTTGACTTCAAACCACCTCAGAATCCCTGGTAATTTATATGCCGTCACGTAGATGGTTCTCTCGATCCACATATTCTGCCAAGACAACACCAACATCACCTTATCGGGTCGAGAGCTTTTATCTTAAGCAAAGCTTT